AAAAAAAAAAAAAAAAAAAAAAAAAAAAAACTTCAAGGGTGTAAATGAATTAAATGGTATATGCATGCACTCACATACATAATCACTTGAGCCTCAAGTGGCAATAATAAGTATCTCAACAAAACTTATTCGATAAATATCGTATTTATTAAAGTAAAGGCAATACATGATTTATCAAATTTGTTTTACACTACCTTATCCTAAATACCAAATTTATTTGGTTACTACCGAACCTAAATTTCGACGATTTATTATCATAATCCCCATAAACCATCTCCCTCAAGGCTCCACCAAAAAGAAAATTTGCAATGCAACCCAGTAAATCGGTCAAACAGTTAGTGAATTAAAGGAATATCATTTTTATAGAATCGAAATAAGTAAATAGACATTAAAAGAAAATCAGTAAATAGAAATTCACCGAAATCAATTCCCTGTGAGAAAATTATAGCATAATTTATGATACTTATAGGCCTCATTCATTTCACTATTTGAATTTAGAATTTAAATTTTATTACAGTAAAAAGCTCTCAGAAACAATTACATCTAACTTTTTTACTACAGTAAAAAGCTCTCACATAACATCACATCTTAATTCTAATTAAAAACTCGAATTAACGAACCGAACGGACTCTAGTGTGCGTGAATATATATGCCTAATTAACACCAAAGGGTAATCTCATGAAAATACAGAACCCGATTCTTGGGTTCTTCAGCCTACACTCACTCATAGAGAAAAATACATGATCTGTCTGTCATCCTTCTGTACATGTCTATTATTTAATTATTTTAAATAATTAGATGCTATTGTGAGTTTTAATTTTTTTTTTCTTTATTAAATGAATGACATTTTATTTTTGAATAGAATGATATTTTATAATATTTTTCAAGGTGATTTTTAAAAATATTTTTTAAAATGAAGTCTTATTTTATTTATATCCCTTAATATTAATCTATATATTTCTACATTTTATATTAAAACTAGTTAAGGGGTAAATTTTTTTTAAAATGAGTTCTTTTCTAGTAAGTAATTTTTTTCGTTTTTGTTTGACTAATATTTCTGGTTTCTTCTCACACTCGTATGCGTGTGGCCCAACATAAATTAGGCAAAAGCCCGGCCCAATAAGTCAGATCAGCAGAAAACCCCACTTTCCCAAGCCTAGGGTTTTGTCACTATAAAAACAGGAAGTTGGACTCGAGCTCTAAGCCATTTTCAAATTTGTAGATTGTAGATCTATCAGTCCCACAGTAGAGGGGAAAAAGGTATGAATTTTCATGGCTTCATTTCTTCGGTTATGGGATGTTAATTTTGTTCACTTATACATACATTATATGTATACATATGTTTATATATATATATATTTGTGTATATATTCTTCCGTTATCGCTTTCTGTTTGCGTTAGGGTTTCTGTTTCGTTTGATTTGTGGCCATTTGGTGTTGTCTCTTGTGATGATTTAAATTGAATAACTTTCGTTCTTCTGAGAATCATGAGGAATTTTCATGGAGACCTGAACTGAAAGACAATGTTTATCTATATGTTTCTCATTTTTTCTTTTTTGGAATTTTCAGTTTCTGGTAATAGTTTAAATGTTCGATTGTTGAGAAACTGAGGGGAAGAGTTTGAAAAATGTTATTGGGATCTTTTTTTCTACGTATAGCTAGTTTATTAGGTTATGAGGCTTATGTTTTGCTTGATTTCTTTTCTTTTTGTTTCTTTTCACAGAGAAGAAAACGAAAGAGAATGCAACCCGCAGTTTGGTTACCAGAAAAACCCTAATTGATTTGAAGTAACATTTGAACTAAGAGTTTTTTTTAACCTTATTTTGACTGATTTCTTATAAAAGCGTTTCTAGAAACTCTGCTTGATTACATAGGTTTATTAGTGGACTTCTTCGGACTCTAAAATAATGGAGTCCATCTTTTTTTTTTTGGGGTTGAAATCATATTTTAGAAAGTTTTGTGTTGCCTCTGAGGATGATCACAAAAAAAAACTTTCGTTCTTCTGAGATATTTCATGCGGAAAAAAATTGGAGACCTGAACTGAAGAGGCATACAAATATAAGTAACTGGTATATTAGGAAGAAATGAATAGAAGTGGGAATTATGTTGGATTAGAGTCTTTTATGTACGTCTAGAAGTTTTTTGTTAGATTTCTGTACAATACTCGAGCTTTGCATGAGCTTTATTTTTGGTCTTCTTGTTCAACTTCTTCGGACTCTAAAATAATGGAGTCCACCTTTTTTTGTGTGGTTGAAATCATAGTTTAGAAAGTTGTATTGCCTCTGAGGATGATCACAAAAAAAAACTTTCGTTCTTCTGAGATATTTCATGCGGAAAAAAATTGGAGACCTGAACTGAAGAGGCATACAAATATAAGTAACTGGTATATTAGGAAGAAATGAATAGAAGTGGGAATTATGTTGGATTAGAGTCTTTTATGTACGTCTAGAAGTTTTTTGTTAGATTTCTGTACAATACTCGAGCTTTGCATGAGCTTTATTTTTGGTCTTCTTGTTCAACTTCTTCGGATCTAAAATAATGGAGTCCACCTTTTTTTTTTGTGTGGTTGAAATCATAGTTTAGAAAGTTTTGTGTTGCCTCTGAGGATGATCACAAATAAAAACTTTCGTTCTTCTGAGATATTCCATGCGGAAAAAAATTGGAGACCTGAACTGAAGAGGCATACAAATATAAGTAACTGGTATATTAGGAAGAAATGAATAGAAGTGGGAATTATGTTGGATTAGAGTCTTTTATGTACGTCTAGAATTTTTTTTTTCTTGTTAGATTTCTGTACAATACCCGAGCTTTGTCTTCCTTTCAAATGCTAAGCTTTGCGTGAGCTATATTTTTGGTCTTCTTGTTCAACTTCTTCGGACTCTAAAATAATGGAGTCCACCTTTTTTTTTGGGGGTTGAAATCAATTTTAGAAAGTTTTGTGTTGCCTCTGAGGATGATCACAAAAAAAACTTTCGTTCTTCTGAGATATTCCATGCGGAAAAAAATTGGAGACCTGAACTGAAGAGGCATACAAATATAAGTAACTGGTATATTAGGAAGAAATGAATAGAAGTGGGAATTATGTTGGATTAGAGTCTTTTATGTACGTCTAGAATTTTTTTTTCTTGTTAGATTTCTGTATAATACCTGAGCTTTGTCTTCCATTCAAATGCTAAGCCTTGCATGAGCTTTATTTTTGGTCTTCTTGTTCAACTTACTCTTAACAAATGTAACAAATTTCCGATGTATGGAACTTGTTTTGCCTCTGAGGATGACCAGTAAATAAACTTTCGTTCTACTGAGATATCCCGTGTGGAAATTTTTGGAGACCTGAACTGAAGAGGCTAAAAAACAATTATATATAAGTATATGCAGCAATAAATAAAATATGCATGCATTTTATTTTCACCCCTGCTCTACTAGTGGACTTCAGCCGCTGAGACCTTTTTCTTTCTTGTTTTAGCCATGTGTTCATTATTCTTCATATACACATCTTTCCATCTTTCATTGACGCATTTATCTCTTTTCAAGTTATTAATATATATGTTTTTTGTCTGTTATCTCCAGATCAATCGTGTAAGAGGCTTTCAGAGTTTACAATGAGGTATTCATTACTCTCTGTTTCATTGGCATGTAATTTGGTGAGATAATCCTCATATTTTTATGAAATACTAACAAATTATTTTTTTCTGTCCTCCTTTTCCTTTTGTTTTATGATTTGTGACTTTGCATCTCCAGTCGGCCAATGGAGGAAGATGTAAGTGATTGCCATCTCTATCTAATTTGGTGCACTTTTAGTATGTCTTTCTTTATAACATGTTTGTGTAACAGTTTGCATGTTCTGTCTGTCTGTCTATCCTTTATACATGCCTCTGTTGGTGATTAGATTTTTTAGCTTTTGGGTTTATCTGAAGCCCTCATAGAAGCCAGTTTGGTCATTTGATTCGTAAACATGTTGTTAACTTCAATGTACTCTGCTTAAATTGTAAAGGGATTTGCCATCTGTAAGGAGTTATGGATTATCTAATAGTCAAGTTGGATGGGATAACAGTGATTTAAAATAGGACCTATTTGCTTTTGTATGCTTGGAGTACTTTCCTGGTATTCATTAGTTGCAGTAATCAGACGAGTTATTTTTACTATCTCTGTGTTTAGCAGTTCATCAGTAGTACTTGGTACTCTTTTTTTTACCCCCAAATTGTCCTTCCTAGGAGATTTCCAAATAATCAATATGCTCCTGGTTTCATTTTATTTCTGTCCGGAACTAAATAATTTGATTCATCTTCTTACAACCTTTGAGAGTAGATGTTTTTAACGTTGCTCATTAAAACTGTTTGCTTTCTGTAGAATGGCAAGAATGAAGATGAGGAATTTAACACTGGACCACTTTCTGTTCTGATGATGAGTGTCAAAAACAACACGCAGGTAATGGCTGCTCGGAAATTACCACAATGAAAAGATCTATCTTCTTTATGCACTCTTCAAGGAAGATATATATTATATTCCTTCGTAATTACCAATGAGTTACTATTGGCTTCCTACTTATTCTAAGCCAATAGTTATCACTGATTTTTTCTACAATAGTCTTGATCACTGATTACTCTAAGTGTGTGGGCACTCTTTAGACAATAAGAAAATATAGAAGATAAACTTTTTATGTCAAAAGTGAATTTAAAAGAGATATATATATATATATTCTGAGTTTTGATCCCCTTTAATATTATTATATTATAACAATATTAATTATCTCATTGTTTGGTAGAATGACATATTGGATCTGCAACTAAGATTAATTATCTCATTAATTGGTAGAATGACAAATTATATCTGTGACTAATTCCCCCAATTTAGCAACATCTAGCATAAAATACAAAGGCCTCGGTCATTTCTTTAGTTCAAATCACAACTTGAATTTTTGCTATAGTGTTTTCTCTAACAAAACTTGATTTAACTTTTTTACTAGGGTTTTCTCTCACATAAATTCACTTTTCAACTCAAGTTAAAAACTCAAATTAGGGAAACAAACGAAGCCAAAAGTCCATAAAATTCTTTCTGTTAAAGAAGAAATATTAAAATTGATAAAGGAGGGCTTTGAAATTCGTTTTTGTAAGATAAAACAAATTATTATTATTTTTAAAAAGTGTGCACACGCAATTACTTTTTCACAATGTCCTCAGAAATAATGCGTGGAAAATTATAACAGTATTCATGGGATGCTCACATCCCATGCATATAATTAATAATAGGAATGCATTCTTTTTAATATGCTTAATAAAGGTATTTTTGTTCAAGCAATATATTTAATAGAGTTGACAAGTAACCTTAAGATATATAGATGCGACATTTATGCTGCCTTGCTTAAATATGTTTTATGACCACCGAGGGTTTTCCACACTTGTATAGCCTGTTTCAAACTGGGCATATAAGAGGCAACGCTTCATTTTGATCTTGATCCGGATCCTCGTCATCTGCTTGCTTAAAGCTTATTGATCCCCATGTGCTTATTGATCCCCATGTGTTGATCATTGATGTCATCCATAGCAATGGTGTCTTGTTTAGGATTGATCTTGAGCTTGAAGCTAAGTCGTCAATCTCACTATTATTATTTGCAGCTTCTTTCTTCCCCTCCATCATTGATGTCATCCATAGTGAGGGGCTTGTCTTTCTCCACCTCCATTATTTTTAGTTTCTCACAAGATGAGATGTGATTTTTTCGTCTTTGTTTTGTTTAGGATACGAAGCATAAATGTCGCTTTTAAATATCTTGCCGTTTCTTTCTTTCTTTCTTTTTTTTAAGGGAAGGAAAAAATGCAAAATTTTCTAGTTATAATGTTCTTTTTTTAAAGGAATATATGAATTGAGTTACGCTTTCTTGCTCTTTTTGAGAAAAAAAAAAAAAAAAGATCTACAAACGAGGATAATAGTGTAATTATTCTCTGATAAGGGGTCAGAAATCACATTTTTCGTTGTTCTCTTTCTCATGCTTGCTTTTCATGTTTAATAAACATGGGTTTACTTGATTATTGTAGTTCACTATTTCTCAATCTTGCTTTAGATCTCGAGTAAAATGTGGGTTCGATGAGCTTAATCTTCTTGCTTCTTGCAAATAGGTGCTCATTAATTGTCGCAACAACAAAAAGCTTCTGGGTCGGGTGAGAGCTTTTGATCGTCACTGCAATATTGTTCTTGAGAATGTTAGAGAGATGTGGACTGAGGTGTATTATTTATGCCCTTTTTGTTCTTTCTCCCAGTAGTGCTTGCACCAATAAAAACTAATTCTTCTATTTGGTTCATCTCTTTAGGTGCCAAAGACTGGGAAAGGCAAGAAAAAGGCGCAGCCAGTTAACAAAGACAGATTCATCAGTAAAATGTTCCTTCGCGGAGATTCCGTCATCATCGTACTTAGGAATCCAAAGTGAGATTTCCATGTTGGCAGAATGGCCCAATGATTTGAGAAGTTCATATCATACTTGTAATCTGATCTCTCCCGGCCGCCATCACCATTTTTAGCAACTAATTGTGTTAATGACTTGTTGGAGACAACGGATTCTGTAGAAGAAAGCCTTTGAAAATATGCCTGTCTTGGTGAATGGATATATGCCCTTTTGGCGGAGCTTGCCATATATGTAGTTAATTCTGTATGGCGTTGTCAGTTTGTACATTTGGTCAGGGTGCAATGTTGAATTCTGATCTTTTACTCTATTGCAAAATTTGTTATTGATTTAAGGGTTCCTTTGAAAAGTATATTAAAAATCATAATTTGGGTTTATTAGCGGGAATTTTGTGAGAATCAATTTTGAAATTTAAATTTTTTGTGAGATAAAAAATTATAGGATTTGGATTTAAGTATAGTTTCAAACAACTCATTTTCCAATCCCATATGACTCATACTTTGAAGCTAAAGCCAATCTCAATCAAGTCGAACAATTCTTTCAATTTTCAAATCCTAAAATTCTGTCGTGATTCAAATCCTTCGAAAGAAAAATAGTTATCCCCTTTTTTTGGATCCAAAGAATATTGAATTTTCACCGGTTTGGTGGTTTTCACTTTTCTGAGTACTTTTGTATCTATTTGTGGTGTGGAAGGACTAATTTATAGGATTCAAAACCGGCCGCAAAAGATAGTCAAGTGAGAAGAACCAATTCTCTCCCTAGTCATCATCATACCTATTTTTCTCTCTAAACCCCATTTTCGGATCTCGTAGAATAAGAATTCTCTCACATTTCCACTGACACAATCGCCATTATACCACTCTATTAAAAATAAATAATTATCATTCAATTAATAAAGAGAACGAAAAAGTCACAATTACACCTAATTATTTAAAATGTCATAGATAATAAGCCCGAATAATGTATAACTAAACTCGAATCTTGGTAGTAGAGCTGCAAATTTAGACTAGGTTAAACGGGCCGTCTAGAAATCGGTCACTGTTGATTTTATTATTATTATTATTTAAAATTTTCTTGTAAAAGTCCAGGTTGGCCCTAGGCCCGTTGGACTTTAGAATAGGGTTGGCCGACCTTTCTCATTTTACGGCTGGATCGATCCAGCCCGTATATCCTTTTCAGGATGTCGGGCTTAGGCCGGGCGGCCCAAACATTCAGTTCTAATTCCTAATCATAATTCACAACCATTGTAATTTGGTCTTCAATGGTTCCTTAATAAAGCTTAAGTAGTGTATTTCAATAACCACACATATTTAAGTAATTGGAAAAGAGATACATTAGCTAATCGATGCACGTGAAAGAATGGTAAGGCCGTTTTCTTTAACAACATTTTGTGTTCCAATCAATCCTGCGGTACGGTTTATAAAAAATCAACTTGATGACTTATTTATATGCCACACCAAAAAAGAAAATTTAAAATTATCTGAGTATACCGCCCTCTATCATTATAACAAATTTTATATTAAAAAAAAAAACTATTTAATAGTGACCTTATGCTTGCTACATTGTGGATTGCGAACCTCCTATTTAGACTTGGGTTTTGTTTTTGTTTGTTCTGAAGCACTTGGTTATAATATTATTGTTTCATTCACAATCACAAGGCAACTTCTCTAAAAGAACTTGGTGGCAAATCAAGGAAGGAGTCTTGAAAAATGCCACGCCCCGCGCGGCATTTTTTAAAATAATGGTCACACAAGAAAGGCAAAAAGGGAAAAGCAACCTAAAAAAACAATAAATGAGAAGAAATAAAGATAAATATCAAAAAGATATAAATAAAAAACGATGGGAGTATGAAAAACACAAAATGGAAAAAAGAATAAAGGTAAAAAACTAAAAATAAAAAGTTTAAAAAAATAAAAAATGTTAAACTTAAAAAAAATTAAGCGAAAAAATTAAGAGATAAATAAAAAAATATGGGACGATAAAAGAACAATAATATATTAGAAAAAAAGTACATTTAAAATAATTTAAAAGTGAACTAAAAAATAAAGGATAAGCATGATTAATCCCACAAATGATCCATGAACATTATTTTCAATCTCATTTTAATCAATAACTTTTAAATATATTATTTTGGTCCCTAATCTATTACTTTATTTTAGTTTTGGTCCCTCTGTCATATAAAAAGAGAGAATAAGGACATATATGAGAAGCAATGATTTTAGCGGGACAATTAGACGGAAAAAATATTTTTTTAAGGTCATAAATCTATTATTTTTTTTTTTTTTAAGGGAGAATAGGAACATATATGAGAAGGAATTATTTTAGCGAGATATTAGATGGAAAAAATATTTTTGAGGGTCACATTTGAGAAAAAAAATATAAGAATGAGAAAAAAAGGGAGAAAGACAAAAAAAAAAAAAAGCAGAAGAAAGAACAAATAATTTCATGAAGTGCCTTTGAAAATATATAATGTATTAGGGAGAGAAATACAAAATAAGAAAGTTTGAAAGAACAAAAGTAAAAACTAAAAGTAAAAAAAGTAAATTAAAAAATGAAAATAAAAAGCAAAAAAGAAAAAAAAAACTAGAAAGAGAAAAAAAAAAGAGAGGGACGAAACGTTTCGTTCCTCCCCTAAAAAACTCTTTCTCCTCTAGGAAAATGATATATATATATATTATACTATAAAAATTTAATGACGTGACGTGATAATAATTTAATCTCATTAATTGTCATTAATATTTTTAGTCAAAATACCTATTATAAATAAATATAAATAAATACATATTTATATACTACCTTATTTTGTAATATTGTGTAATTGTATTGAACTCACGTGTGGTTCTTGCAAGTTATCTTCAATGTTTTAGACTCGTTAAAAAAACACACACACACACACACACAATTCCAGGGACTACAAAATTCATGTACAAAACCTTCAGTGCATCAATTAATGCGAAGTAATGTAACCATATCCCACATAACCACTAATAAGGGAAGCAGGGTCCACTTGTGTATAAGAGTTGTGCAAGAAGACATAAATCAATTATCCCTAATATTGTAGAAATCATGAAAATCTTTATTGTACAATGATCATTTGCTTTATTTTTATGTCTATCAGATATGTAAAAAATCAAGTAAAAATTAAAAAATACGCATATCCAACGGTTAGAAAAATCTAACCTATCGATACGTCATGAGTACTAGAGAATTTCTCATTTTTTATAATTATTATTTGCTTTATTTCTCCGTCCCAAATTGGTTGTCTAATGAGATTCCTTCTATGCAAAAGAAGGGTATGTTTGATAGTGATTCTTAGAGTCCAAAATCAATTATTTAGCCATCACAGTTGAAATTTGTGTTTGGTAAAAACCATAAAAAGTGATTCTTAAAGTATTTTTAAGGAATTTATAGTCAAAATAAGAAGCAACCCAAAAGCAACTTTGACTTTTAGATTGTGCGTCAATCACCTTAAAGTACAATTAATAAAACTTTCATAATACCCATAATACCTCTAGAATCAATACTTGTATAATTACAATTTACTAAACACTCAGCTATTTTTTGTAACAGCTGTTTTTTTTTTCAGCATAGCTAACAACAATTTTTTTAAAATCTACAGCACTACCAAATTGGGCCGTGTGTAGCTTTGCAAGGAAAAGATAAAAGAAGAGATAAAGTATGCGCATGTACTGGTAGGTTATTTTTTTAATCGTTAAATCTACGTATTTTTTTTTTTTTTTTACGTAATTTTATATAGATCTGACGGACGTATCTAAAAAAGTCTCAATATGACTCTACTTTGTTGGAATGTATCAAGCAGATAGTTGGGATTTTTCAAAGGGTCAATGAACTACAAGTAATTAAAGAAAGAATTATATATTTATTTACATAAAAAATGGAATATATGAATATGGAAGGGAGATAAAGTGAGGAGTGTTCGTCCGTTTCAATCCTACTATGATTTGACCCTAGAAAGAGTACTTCCATTTTTAAATGTGATTTGTATATGTATCAATTTATTTTCTTACCCCAAGTGCTCCCAATATTGATCCTTCTATCCTTCTATTTTTCTAGTGCTCTACCTGTTGGAGTAAAATTTCATCAAGCACTGATTAAATATCTTTAAATTAGTGCTTGACAATATCTTTAAACAAGAGATTAAGATCAAACAAGCAACTTAGTCAACCGCATCAAAATGTTGCTCCAACACTATCTAAATATTAGTGTTACGTGACTTGTGTCTATTATCATTTTCCACGGTATAATTTTCATCATATATCTAAATAAAGAGATTTTTTTTTATAAACACTGAAAAAATAAACTAACGAAAAAAAATTCTATTTTCAACCGAAAAGTTCTATTTTTAGTCGTCAAATTTATATAAAAAATTAATTAATTTATATTTTTTTTAATATAATATAATTTTAATCAGATATAAAAATTAAAGATTATAGAGACCATGTTAAAAATAGATCCTTACAATAATAATGAGGAATTGTTAATATTATGTGAGGTATTGATGGTGACATTTGCACTACCATTAATCATAAAAGTTAGTGCCGTAAGCAATATCAGCCCCACTAGTATGACATCATTATGGCGCATTCCCATTGAGATAAACTTGTTCTAAGTAGTACTTAGCTTAAGTATCATGTACCTTCCTGTGTTTGAACTGGTTTATTTCTTTTTTTTTTCTTCCCGAAATAGTTTAATTGCTTATTAGTTATTAGGAAAATACTACATAAATAGCCTTTTAAAAAAAATAGAAAATACTACATAAATAGAAAAACTAGTGTTTTACTGAATTACTACATTAGTATCTCAATATTTAGATGATACAAAAATTGCCTATACTTTAATAAATGTTCTTCAATTATTTGCGCCAATTTTTTGAGACTTAAAAATATTGTCCACGCCCTTTTAAATAAAGACTGCACAGCAATACATAAAATTCTAAAAATAAGAGAAAAAAAATTAAGGATACAAATAACATTTCTATCTCAAAAAGAGCCTGAAAGGTATTTTTCCCTCGAGTACAAGATACTCACTTGAGAGTATCTAAGCACTAAGGTAGCAATCATTAAAATTTGTTAAAATATAAGACATAAAATATAATCTTCTTATGCTGATTTTCTTTTTGGTTTTTTTTTAACGTGTAAACGTATCTGTGGGCACGCGCCCACCACGCACCATTGCAGAAAAACCCAAAAAAAAAAAAAAAAAGAGGCTAAAAAGAGGTTCTTCAAAGCAAAAACCCAAAGAAAAAAAATAAAAAGACTAAAAAGAGGTTGTTCAAAAGTGGTTTAATGACGAGTGAGAACAGCTTAATTGGTT